CCAAGGGTACTATCCTTGTCTTGGGTCACTGTTGAAAGCATAGCATCAATCGCTTCTGAATAACATTTCTTGTTATTCAGAATAACATCTCTAAAAACTTTTTAAACTGCTTGAATGAAACTTACTTCATTCAAAAAATATTATCTGAAATTTGCATGGTAGTGTGATGGGTAGCACTGCTGCCATACAGTTCCTGAACCCGTTGAAGCAAAAAGATTCAGTAATTTGACACTTATGTCCAATAGACACTTGAGTAAATCATTCATGTACTTTGAATTTGATCATTTCCTCTTGCAAGCGACAATAATAGTTTACAATAAAGTCAACTAACCACCTCCTTAATGATTTTGAACACAGAGTGTCAATCTCCATATCTGGACCTCATTGTGCTTGTTCTGTGATAAACAAGCACATTACTCCCTCTATTGGATGGGACACACGAGTCCATCACAGGGATAAATAAACTGGGGTAAAGTACCTCACTCAAGGTACAACATCAGGGTCTTCAGTGGTGACTTAGACTCACAACCCACCAGTTATGAGTCTAGAGACCTACCCACTACACTAAACCACCCCCACAAAATCATTAGAAGATACATAAAATGTTAATGAGCAAGTTACTAACCCTTATGATGCAAGTTATATAAAAGAGTAATTTGCTCATCACTTACACTCATTGCTTAGCTGATTTGTGATGACCCAGATCAGCCTACCTCATGTAATATAGATTGATCTCCAGACATTAATTGCTTTACTGATGCACAGCAATGTGGATTTCATAAAGAAACGATATCTGTGCCACAACTTCAAAATAAGATACAAATGGAATTGTTTAGAAAAAATAGGTTATTTTAATAAGAGCTACAGTATGTGTCACATCTCCCTTAATTTTATTCTGGTTGTTTGAAAATTTTTATTCTGGTTGCCTAGTGCCTTTACAAACAGTTAACTAGTAACTATTTCCACTGTATCAAATCTGGATTGTATAAAAGCCATCACACCTCAATTGATGAATAGAATACTTTATTCCTTATCTATTAATCATGTCTGTGGGACTACTAAAGAGTTTATTAGTGAACCCTTTTTCACTAATAATTATAATAAAAGTTTGCCGGTGATGCCATTGTTGCCATTGGTGATGTCATTGTCATGTTATGGCATGCTACAGAAGTGATACCGTAAGAAAAGTCACAAACAAGAAGAAGCCCTTTGCCCCATTTAACTAATTCAGTGGTAAGTAGCTAATTGATCTGATTTTCTCATAGAGCCGCTTCTGGAAGGAAGCCAGAGTTTTAGCTTTATGTTTAAAGAACAGGTGGAAATAGCTTGTTCCACACTCCCACTGCCCTTCGCGTATGGATGTGCCTCCTGTTCTCAATGGAGATGAACTGTCCACTTGTGACCCTTGTGTTTCACTGTTGATATTCAGGTTGCTGGTATTTCTTCTCCTTTTTCTCGTTGTTATTGAAAGTATGATTCCTGAAGTTTATTTATATTACAGTAAATGCTCATTGGAATGCAAGCAAAATTATTTTCTTACTGGTAAAGCTCTAATTGGAGATGAAAATTGGCATAGTTATGTACGAAATATACTTTGTAGGAAATAGTGCAAATTGTACTGAAGTATATATTGCTTTCTTCGTAAAGTAATGCTCAACAAGGTAACATGCATGAAATCTGTGCATGGCATTGTTTCTACATACTCGTGCAACTAAAAACCTGCAGTTGCTAAAACAAACAAAGGGACTGTCTTCTATACCCACTAGTGGCAGATTACTTGATTTCATTTCTTTATGATTGACATGAAAAAACAATGGATAAAAGATATCAACAATGGATACATTCATGGCAGAAACAAAACAGATAACTGAATCTCATAAATCAAACAGAAATCTTGGAATCGGAACTGGAATCTTGAAACCCTTTTAGGCATAGCTGATTCAATTTTTGTTTTTTGATCGATGTCCTTAATTTTATACTTTCTCATTTCATATTCCTTTTATACTTTCTCAGTACAGTAAATTATAGCTCGATTATTCACAAAGAATAAGCATTATATAAATTATCTTACAATCTCACATTATGAAATAATCATACACAACATAACGTCAAATAAGCATTTCCGAATTATCCTATTTAGAATTATTTGAAGATATAAAACAGTAGATTGAAGTGACAAACAGCTATGAAAGCTTTTCCTCTCCATGCCTTAAAAATGGTTCTCAAAGAAACTCTGGTCAGTCATGGGTAAAATGAAGTCGGAGTGCTCTATCTAAAAATAAAGACAGTGAGAAATTTTTATCCAGAGATCAAAATGTCCTTAATGGATTTTTAGTATATGGCACTGTGAAGTACTCTGAGGATGATGTTTTTGATGTAGCAGAAATTATAATACTTTGTTGCAGTGCACATTTTGTAAAGTGCACTTTATGTTTGCTGATAATATGATATTCAAATTACCTTCAGCAGTGTCATGTGAATACAGAGTTATGGTTGTTACAGAAAACAGCTGAATAACAATTTTAACCTCTGTATTATATGTGCATCTCCTGTGCATAAATATCTCACCCGCTATGCATCCACTTTGAGTTTCTTCCTCTCACCCCATCTTCACCCTTTTAGCAGCTCCCTAGCTCTATCCTCTGGAATAGAGATGGCCGTCCTGTTATGCTTGTCCTCATAGGTAGGCTGCCATCAAAAGAAACTTTTAATACATTTCTCCTCTAAGTCACATTAATTTGGATTTGGCCAATCTATTGAACAAAGCATTTGCAAGACAGATTTATTATATTCCTAATTGCAAAACACTGCCAACACATTTGCTTGAGAGTGTTAACTCCCCTTTGTATCATTTATGAGGAACAGAACTGATATTCTCTTGTTCAAAGATGTTTCTTGATGTTGGTCTTTGCAATAATCCTTCAAAAGATGGAGGCCAAAGCAATATTCCAATCAGCGCTTTTCTTGCCTATTGTGGACACAATCTGTTCTGGCCACCTTGTCGCCATGGATACCAGACCTCGTCACATTTACGGAGTTGTGCTCTCTTGTTCAATGTTTCTTATTGTCTTGTTGAGATAGTCATGACGTTGGTTGTGTGCAGTCGGTTTCTAAACCTTGTCTGCATCTTAAAAGAAAGGACGTAGTGAGGTGCTATGACTCCACGAGGAGCTTCATTATTCCCTTGAGCAAACTGCACTTCACCATGCATGTACTCTCTGGACTATGTAATGGATGAGGAGCATAGAACTAAGAGCAAATGAAAGACTAGGCCTCAAATTTTCAAAGCCTGATAAAGTCCTTGAAGTTGATAACCAATCCTCAAGGACATTGACAAGGACAACCCAGCAGACGACATCAGAACAGACATGGAAACATGACAAGACACAGATGGAAACTAGGTGGAAGGACATTTAAAATAGAGAAATGAAGGCAGAGGAATATGGAACAAGCTGTCCAGCCATGTTGTTTAAGCCGATACCCTGGCTTCCGTCAAGAAATGGCTTGTTGAGTTCTTCAGATCAACTGGCCACTAACTACATCTTGAAACCTTAGAAAAATAAAATAAAAGGGGGCTTTTCTAGCAATTAAAAGAAAAGTGAAACACCATGATGGAGAAATCTCAGGATGACTTCCATCAGAGACAGAGATAAAACAGGACCCCTGGCAGAGACTGTTTGGGCTAACAGGCTGAGGAAACAGTCCTCTTTGCTCATTTTATCATAAGTGTATTTTTTTTGTCAAAATTGTTTTTAACCTGAGATGGACTGGCATCCCATCCATCCCACTGTACCTTGCGGAGCCCATTGCTTGCTGGGATTAGCTATTAGAACTATTAGAAAATGGATAGATGGATGATTTAAAGCCCTTCATCTTAAAATGCCCAAGTGAAACTATGAGAAAAGTGTCATACTTTCATTTCCATTTTCTTTACCGTGATATTTATAAAAAATATTAGGGTAAAGGTGGCTGAGAATGAGCTTGCTGTTTTTAAATAGTGTGTTTTGTTTTCAAGCTTTAAAATTGGGAATTAATTCAATTAATTGGGAAGATTGACTGATCATAACATAGATTAAACAAAGTGATGGCAAAGCATAGAAGAAAACTAACTTCAGACCTAAAACTGGGATAAACACTCAATTTTCAGCAGAACAAAGATGCATAATATAAGAACACTTGAGTAGCTTAAGATTTAAGAAATCAAAAGTCCTTCAGTAGCTCAGCCAAAGTCCTGACTTGAATCCTCTTCAGAATCTGTGGAAATACTTGAAAGCTGCTGTCAGTAGGCGATCACCAAGCTACCTGAGACAGCCTCAGCAAATAAATCTGCCAAGTAGAATGGGCAAAGACTTTACCAAGCCACTGTGCAAACTTGGTAGATATTTACCAAAAAAAAAAACCTTCTGCTGTGGTTGGTGCAAAAGTTACTTCTACGAAATATTTGGTTCGCAGGTCTGAATATGTAAGGCGTAAAGTAACATTTTAGTTTATTGTCTTTGTATTTCACTGACATTTATAGCAACCGATCTTACACTAGGAAGTATTGAGCTTGAGCATTCAGGTTTTAAATAAAATATTAAGTTAAAAAAACACGTTTGACTCATTTTATGATTTTATCAAATTTGACCCCATAGACATGGTATGAATACTTTATGGTATGGTATGAATACTAGGGCGCTGGATATCTGTTATCAGGTAATTTTCCACAAAGTTAAAAAAATTACAACACGAGAGACATCTACTGGTACAAATAGGTAGTATCACAGTGGCAAGTCAAATGATTATTTAGAGATATATCTAAATACATGTAAAGATTATTTTAAACAATGAATGGCATATCTCTCATGAGATATCTCTAAATGATCAATTGGCTAGCCATATATCGCTTCTATCTAGTGTGTCTACCAGTGGAGTGATCCCTCACATATCGCAATCGGCGTAGTTTGTAGTTGAGTGAAGACTACATCTCCCAGTATCTCATGTGCGTGAGAAATGGGTGTCTGACGTTACGTTCCTCTGCGTTCCAATTTCCGGTCGGTAAAGACTGGCTGTGTGTGTTGTGTTTGTATTGTGCAGGAAGCGAGAGGTATGTAGGCATACTTTTTATTTAAAAAAATAAAAGTGTAGACTCAGTTATGCGGAATTGCTTTGCTAAATAGCTGTTCTTCGCAACAAAACCCCACGATCAGTAACTACTCGCTTGTAGTGTCACTGTGACAAATGTTTGGTAGCTAAAGTTGTCTGACTGAAGACAGTGTTATGAGTTTACCGTCAAAAGAGAGAACAGCAGAAGTGGAAATGAAAGCAATAGTTAAAACAAGTGGGTGGTTTAAGTTCATGTTCACCGCGCTTCTTTAAGGAAAGATTGAATAGAAAGTGTTGCACATGTTAGTTTGCGATAATTACTGGAATGGAAAAAAAATAAAGGTGTTATTTCTGTTAAAATTACTAATGACGCAGAATCGATTAATGTTTATACTGCTCTGTGCCTGTTTACTTTCCTTAAGTAAACTCGAAGAGGCTTCATATCCAAGTAACACTTTGGAACATCGCCTTAGCTGATGATCCAGGGAGGTCGTCCTGTGGTTGTTTATCTTACTTAACTTGTTTAAATGCTTTTTGTTTGATTGTTGCCATCTTGAAAAAATGAAGCCTCTGTATGGAAGCACAGAATGTGTAACGTGGCAATAATGAAATAAATGAGCAATGTGGTGGAAAACACCTAATATTTGTGCGTTACAACTGGGTCGACAGATTCGAAAAAAGGCTTAGATACTGCTGATTCATTTCTAGTTTTCAGGGATGTTACCGCTGTAGTTCAGCAAAACGCAGTTTTGCCCAAGTTTTATGAAATTAACTGCGTTCGCTGCATTTGCATTTCAGTGCCGAGGATAGACTAATTTCCAAGTGTATACAGGTGTTTAGTGAAAACAACTTATTCATCTTGAACCTTTGAGCTACAGTGCAGTTTTCACATGCAGAGGAGGGTTCAAAATTCAGAAGCAGTTTTCAAGAAATGTGTGACTCACATAAGAGACCCCCGTTCCTCTGGGTCCCTCTATTTCAGAGCTCCTGGCAAGATCTATAGATGTGTTTCGGTCTTAATCTTTCTAGACAGCTACTTGACAAGACGCTTTTAATGTCTGTAAAATGCTTTGAGAAGGTGACCTCTCAAACCCTTTGCCTCACCGCTGTTTTTTTCCAGCGTGATTTGATGAGGCATTCAAATGTTTTTCGAGATTGCAAAAAAGTTTCGGAAATGCTGGGAAACTTGAATGAATATTTAAGTGTTAGTTCCTTTCTCCGCACTGAAAGTAGACTGATCTTTGCGGGGGGGGGGGGTTCTTGTATTTAACCTCGTATGCCACCAGGGGTATTCCCATTGCACAGTGCAGTGTGTCCTTTCAGCAAATCACGCCTGGCTCAAAGAAACAAGTTTTAAAGATGGGTTAAGCATTGTGAATGTGAACTGCATCACATGTTATACATTCTGATTGACGAATGTAACTCTAGACTGGGGAGCTGGTGGGCTGGGGTGAAATGACAGCTGGGTTTTAGTGTTACAGTACAAGGAAAGTAGAGGGACAGCTCTCGTTAAAACCGAGTTTGATCGTTCAGAAGGCGATCGGTTTTGGAAATGTAGCTCCAAGGCTGCACAGCAGGGTCATTATCAAAATTCCAGTTTTCCTCATCACTCTGTATTGTATATTGTGCCTTGGAGCTTGTCAGCCACGGGCATTGATGCTGAGCACACGAACGTGACGTTTTGCTTTTCTGAAGTGTCCCTGTTTGTTTTATGTATTTGCACCTGTGCCACATTAAATCTGTCTGCTACATTTTTCAAATACAAATAAGATGTGAGAGCTCGTCTTAGCACCTTTGGGGTTTCACTGCACGTTTAGCCCGAGTATAGCCTGGGGCAATAGGTGTTCACTTGAGTTCTGACTTTACTCGTGCTTTGACTAGATTTCGTTCCCCAGTTGCTATTGTTCAGATTTAGTGGCAAAGTATTTGTAAATCATTTGAAGTACCCAGTACAACCAAATGTACCTAAACCTCCTTTAACAAACAGTCAAAAAAATTAACTGCACCACTTATTTTCTACTTGTGTCTTTTGGTTTTCAATATATGCTAAAAACATCATAATAATAATAAACTTTATTTTATTGGGCGCCTTTAAAGGTGGCTTCTCAAAGCGTTTTACAGGATGACAATAACAATAAATAAGAAGAATACAACAATAAATAAGGAGAATACACAAGATAAAACACAATTACAATATAAAGAGGAGACCGTGGATGGTGGTATTAAGAAAAGCAGAGGGGTGAAGAATGGAGCCAGTTCAGTAAAGGCTTTTCTGAAGAAGAGGGTTTTGAGTCTGGATTTGAAGGAGTTTAGAGAAGGTGACTCTCTGATATCCTTGGGGAGAAAGTTCCAGAGCTTGGGGGCATAACAGGAGAAGGCCCTGTCACCCATACAATGTAGATGGGCTTGGGGGACAGTAAGGAGGGCAGACATACAATTCCTCATAATATAATATTCCTTTGTTACATGGTTGTATTTTTGCTATCGGCAGTCTGTTTATTTCAGGCTTTTGTATGTAGGCAGGCAGCCACTTGTTGAAATGAGTTAAAATTGGAAGTGAATAGAAACTTTGAAATGTGTTTACCAGGAGCTTTACATCCGTTTAAGTTTCGAAATTATCGCCATCAGCTGCTTTTCAGGTCTTTCTGTTTTCGCGCACCTTTTTTTCTTCTGTGCTGTATGACACCTCTGGCCTCTGCGTGTTGAGGCAGGAGCATGCCGAGGTGGTGACTCTGGGCCTGTGTGTGAGCCGGGGGGGAGCCTGCGATCATGGCTGATGGAGAAGGCGACGAGGAAGTGATTCACCTGGCCAGTTTCCACAGACATCGCGGAGAAGGTGGGTCTTCTCCCACACACTCCTCAGTGCAGAAACTCCACTTCAGTCTGACGTTTTATTGGGAGCACCCACAGTAGCATCGGAAATTGTAACGTCAGTCTTTTCTGCTAAATAGTATAGAGGTGTGAGTAATGTCGGTCTACTTTAAAATTTAGCTGCTGAAGAATTTCTACAAAAAACACTTCTACTTTGGTATAGCATTGTTGTTCTATAGGTCCATAGGTATAGTACATTTTGTAAATTCCATTTTTTTTCCAGTACGTTTAAATAGTAAATTCTACCAAATGATATCGTGCTGCCCAACACATTTTTAGGATGGCATACCATTCATTGGAAAGGCGGTTACCTATAAAAAAATCTGTTCTTAAAGGTGGCAATCCACAAAAAAGCAAATGTCTTTTAGCCACTGGTGTTCCTCCACGAGGGGGTGAATTGTGCCCACTTTGGTCTTAAACAGACGACCGGATTCGAAATGACCTGCTCATTACCATATCGGACGACTCGGATGATGAGCTGCCTACACTGATGCCAAATAACCCAGCCCAGATCAAAGCTGAACTGGAGGACGAGGATGACGAGGAGGAAGATGTTGTGATTTTAGAGGTAGGTGGAAGAGTGTTATTGGAATAGAAGGCGCCATCTTTCTGATCACTCTGAGCACCAGAAATTAAGATGACGGTTTCGCAAGACGCGCATGTTGGAATAGTTTAGAAAAACAAGGTAGTCACTTTATACAAAGAAAAACGTTTCTTCTATTTTCTTGATAGCTGTGAAGACAAATTTGCTTCTTTATTTTCATCAGAGTGTAATTGAGGTTGTCCTGGCGGACACTTAGAAGCTCCAATGACTTTTCTTATTGCCCTGCAGCCACTAAGACCGCAGCAGCCTCTGCGCCCAAACGTTATCCGCCCTGCTGCTCTGTGGGGGGGTACCCCACATCAGGAAACCCCTGAAAGACAAGGGGAGGCTCCCATGGAAGCACCTCATCCCGCTGCCGAGAGGCGGATTCTGCTTGCGCGCCGCAGGTTGCCACTCGGCAATGTGGACCTTGAATCAGGGAATAATGCCCTTAATGTCTTAAGCGGAAACCAGAAAGCCACACCTTCCAGTTCTCATGCCCCTCCTGTGCCCAGGCCTCACCCGCCTGCAGGGACTGAAACCACACTTGAGCAAGGACCTGCAGGGCGTGCTGCCGTTTGTAACGGCGAAGCTTTCATTGCAGCGATGCCTGAGCCGTTGGCTCATCGGGATGTCAGGCATGGTATTCCACTGGGGAGCGATCGCAGCGAGCTCAGGCCCCTGAATGATCAGCCCCACACAGACCAAGAAAGGCAGGCTGGTGTGGTACCTAAAAGAACTGAACCACTCCATGTTCCTCTCCCAGCTCTGCCTGAACAGCAGCAACCACATGAGTCTCTTAGGTTTCCTCCAGCTCTTGGTGTTCAGGAAAACCAGCACCAGGCACCCCCAGGGCCTGTCCTGCACATCCCACTTGCTGTCAATCAAAATGAGCCAGGGGCACTGATTGATGATGAGAGACCTGGACCATCCATCCCAAATCCAGAATTGATAGCTGCTCGGTATGACAGAGATCAGATAAAGTCACTAGTGCATAGAGTGGTAAGTGCCAGTTTTGTTTTTCCATGTGCATCAAAATTAGATCTGCGTTTTGAATTCCCTAGTAAATTATGACAGGCCAGTCAATGTTACCATTTGATTTTCACGGTAGAATTGAATTCATTAGTGTAAGGATGTATGTTGTTAAAAATAGGAATTTGTACAAAAAAGGCATTGGAATTCTGTTTTTGTTTTTGTTTAATTGTACTGCTTGTACATGTACTGTGCTTGTGCAAGTAAATGAAATATACTCAGTATATTGAGTGCCTCAGTGACAATTACGTATGTAAGCAAAGAGCATGTATAAAATGAAAATTTCACAAAAAATAAGAGAGTTAGCTTGTTATATTTCAGTTGTTGTTACTCTACAGGAAGATTTCTTTTAAGTCTAAGAATAACAAAACCATATTTTCTTCTTTCATCCATCTGTCTAGGCTGAGTTTTTTCCTGATATAGAAGAAGCATACGTAGAAGAATTAATTAAGAGTCATGATTTAAACGATCTAAATTTGTAAGTATACCTATGCATTTTTTGCTTGTTTGCAATGAAGCACAATAGTGTTTTATATTGAAGTCATAAGACACTTGATTAATGCTTCTGTTTTTTTTGCAAATGGATTCATTTACAAATATTTTTCCTTTGTTGGAGAAACAAAAATAGTTGGTGTGCTTCCAGATAAAATGGCACTTTTATATCTCAAGACCTGTAGTAGATATTTGTATGTAGTCCCCCAGTAATTAAATTGGACAATGTAAATTGAAAGAAGAATTTAGAAAAATGAGCATTATTATCATTTTTGGTAAATTATAGCTGTTTGGAAGAACATGTTTTGGTTTTTTTGCAGGATTTGCAACTTTTTGTTAGAAAACCCCAATTATCCAAAGAAGGAAGGGACCTCAGTTTTGAATCAGTCAAGTATTCTTCTCGAAACAAACGAGGATGAAAACCAGGTGAATGAGAGCAGTTTGCTATGTTGATTATCTGTATTCCATTTCTTAATCTTCTGTGATTCCTTTGCTGCTAACTCTAGCTATCCAACAAATCTCTGCGGGGCAGTTCTAGCAGTGATGTAAGCACCAACCTTGACATCTGTGTCCTAAATTGCACAGGCAGATGTTTGAAGCTTATATTTTTTTTTAAATTGCTTTTTTGCTTAATCAGAAAAGTAAACGTTAATTTTTCCATTTTTGTAACAAACAATATCCCTTTTATCTGTAATATTGTCACATTAAGTATTGTTCTGTAGCCAAAAAGCTTAGCTTGCAATAGAGATTTTTCCATGTCAGTGAGGCCAAAAGCATGCAAGCCTAAAATGCACAAAGTTTTCAGTGACAATTTGAGTAATTTGAGTGATAATTATTGAGTAATCAGTAACTGCCATATTTCTGCATATTCACATTGAGAAAACATGCTTGATGATCTGTAAGGTTCGTTACCAATTCATGTTAAAAATTAATAAATGATTGATTTCTGCAATATTTTCATCAACCAAAAATGTTCTTAATTATCTGTAAGATTATGATGTCTGCTATCTTTTCCTTACAAACTCATATTTGTTTTGTCTTGGGTGCTTTTGCAAGGTTACAGGAATTGATGTATTTATTTTTCTTTATCTATTATCTGTAATCTAGTTCTTTGCCTTCCCCCCTCCCCCCCTTTTAGAATAAAGAGAATTATTTTGATTTCTCCAAACTGGAAGCCGTAGACCAACGCACAGCCGTTCAAGCTGCAGACCTCCTGATGGCTGATTTCAAGATGTTAAGCAGTATGGATATTAAATGGGCTCTGCATTCTCTTAGAGGACACTATGCAATTACACGCAAGGTAACCAACAAGTTTCCCATTCTATAAATGATTCATATGTACTTGCAGTGAAAAGACATTAAAGTAAATGTTTTTATTTTCCGTATCACAATGCTAAAATTTGATTTTGGAGAAATTGGAGGTGTAGTTCAATTTTTGCTGCCTAGGAAGCAGCTTTCACAGAAGACGGTGTACTTGCTTGCTATGTGAAAGGTCCATGTCCTCTCAGACAAACAGCACAGTGCGGGGAATGATGTAAGAGATGTTGGATTGACCCAGCAGTTAGCAATGTCTCCCTGGCCTTAATTCGTGTAATTTTGACCTCGCAGTTAGAGGACTGAAAAGAAAATGACTTGTCTGTTTTCCAGGCCTTATCTGATGCCATCAAGAAATGGCGGGAACGCTCTCCTGAATCCTCAGGGAAGAAGAAAAAACGAAAAGAAATGAACCAGTTTTCATACATAGATTTCAAATTCGAAGAGGGTAATTCTGGCTTGTGTTTTCCTGGCTTGCCTCACTGTGTGTTGTTAGTCTGTTCTGGATTTAACTTAAGAGCAGTAGTGAGATAAGATCTCATCGTCCCTGCAGATGCCGTTATCATTTCAAACTTTGCTGTTTTCTGGCATTGGTGAACATTTACGTTGAACGTTTTGAGAGTTCATATACTGTGTTCAGATGCAGTTGGAATAAATTTTATATACCTTGTTTTCAATTTGGCTATCAAACACTGCATGGAAAATGTAACATTGCACTATGTGTAAATTGGTAATAATGTGTTGGCTGTTTCCTGTGAAAGAAAATCATGTGTTTGTCTTAGGTACGACTAAATTTGAGAGGCGGATGTTCTTTCTGGAAAACAAGAGGAGACATTGGAAGTCATATGACAAGCGTTCTCTTCACCCATCCTTGCAGAAAGAAATTACATTCTACGAGCAGAAAGCTAAAGAAATGGCTGAGGTTTGGAGTGCACTTTAAACATTTTTCTGGCAACCTTATCATACACTATAATGTGAAATATTCTATGATTCTGATTGACATTTAAAATGCTTGATAATGCGATATTTGATTTCTCATCTTCTTTATGTAGATAGAACTAGTTGTTTTAGTTCTGCTTTCTTCATAAGAGAGTTTTAGAATTACAATGCAATATTAAAATGTACAAAGAGATGCTTCTAGTTTTCAAAATGTTATTGAGCTGTACAAATATGACTCCTAATGTTTTTTAAAATGCACTCGTATTAAATTGCATTGTTCTTATTATGCGTTTCGTGCTGTTCACTGCTTTTTTTTCTCCTCTCCTAAGCATGAAGACTTCTTGTTAGCTCTACAAATGAATGAGGAGCAATATCAAAAGGTATATTTCAAAATACGTGCAAGATGTGGGATTGATATTGAATATGCCTTTACACTTTTCTGTATAATCTCCGCATAAATGACTGATCTGTATGAAAAATTGCAACATTCAGTGCTCAGAAACATTTTTGCTACCAAGACATAATTCAGATAGTCCTGTATTCATAAGGGAGTTCTCCCAATTATGATTATACATACTTTCAGAAGGTGATGCTATACTAATTGTGTTACAGTTCTCAGGCTTGCAGGCTCTTACAATCACAAGGATTCTGTTGACATTGAAAAAAACGTAATGGTATTTGGCTATGATCACTGTATCGCACTGCAGAAAAGTGATTTTGCAAGGGAATAACTCCTCCGCGATCCTGTGAATCCTAAAAGGCCATTCCTGTTTAATGACAGGATGGTCAGCTGATTGAATGCCGTTGCTGCTATGGTGAGTTTGCCTTTGAGGACCTGACTCAGTGTGCAGATGGTCACCTGTTCTGCAAAGAGTGCTTGGTGAAATACGCTCAGGAGGCTGTCTTCGGTTCGGGAAGGGTAAGTGCCCAAGAAAAATCAGTTATTTCCGGCCAGATAAAAATGAGCCAATCAAATACAAACAGTTGTAATTCATTGGCTATATAACCAATATCTTTCGACTTCTTAAAAAGAGGAAAAAAGTGTAGTTTTCACTGGATTTGAAATACCTTTATTATTTGTTTTAATTATTTGTGGATCATTTTTTAAAATCTTGAATTTATCTTTGTACATATACCTAGAATATTGTAATTTCATAGGGAGGACTATACTAATTTTTGCTACTTTCATATAACAATTGTGTAATTAAACATGGCCATGGCTGATCGTCGCCACGGACCTTAGCTATCTCAGCGTCATGATGATGAATAAAACAGTAAGGAAAGTTTTTAGACAACTTGTTACATTTAGCAGCGTTATAGTTTCCATTTTTTGGTAATATACCTTCTTAAATCAAGAGATTGTGCGCTCTTTATCATCTGCGGTCATGACTTTGAACCTCCTGCAAGGTAGAATAAATAAGTGTTCGCAGACTGACCCGCCCACTTTAAAGCTTCAAGCCCCTCCCCTTTTAACACATCTCAGGCTGCATGGCCACATACCAGAGGCACAGTGCTGACTGGGAGAAGAGGCACGTCCCTCACTAACAGTACTGCAAGCCTGCCAGCACCCGGGAGGCTGCTGGGGTCTCTGTATTTGCACATTCCAGAAAGTCCTGGCTGACTGATCCCACAAAACCCCGAGTGGCACTCAGCCAATTGTGTGTGCGCTCCCGCCTCTTGGCGAGTCACAGTCACAGTTGGCTAGTAACCTGACCCAGGCTCCGACCTGAAACACCTGGGTCATTGCGGCCCAGCTCAACCAGAGAGGAGCCAAGAGCCTGTCCTAACTGTTGAATCAACAGATGCATCTTCTTTGCCCTGCAGTCGGAGCTGAGTTGCATGGACGGAAACTGTACGTGTGCGTTCCCAACCAGCGAGCTGGAAAAGGTGCTCCCAGAGAACATCCTGTGCAAATACTACGAGCGACAGGCGGAGGAGGCCGTGGCGGCAACCTGCGCTGATGAGCTTGTCAGGTCAGTTCACATTCCTGATCTCCTGATCTCTGAAGTAATACTGTTATTTGACAGGCATCAGTTTACTGTGCAAGATGAATGCATGATTATTAGATTATTAGAAATCTGTATGTGAAAATTAAACAGCTTTTGTTTGAGGTTTGAAATTGTAGAGTGCAAAAGGTCTGTGCATCCAATTCATTTATACTGCAGATTTTATATACTGTATACACATGGATGGTGGGATGTTAAACAGAGATGCATTATGGATCAGTAGTTTTAATCCCTGTCCTTATATGACCCTCTGTCTGCTTGCTATCCTACCAACTGATCTTAAAATCTACCTAACTGGCATCTTTCCCAAAATAACTGTGCCTGAACACACATCTTGATTGTGCTTAGTCACAAAAAATTATCCAGTTTAGAACATTATAGGTTTTAAGTAAGTATATGAGAATTAAATTGGAACAAAAACCAGGAAGTGAACTGTACTTGTGGTTAGGACCAGGGCAGACAGCACTTAGGTACTTAGGAGAGTACTTGTCAGAAGATCGAGAAAATGGTTGTTCTCATGGTTTTTGTAAATACGGTTTCTGTCTTTCCTGTAGGTGTCCGTTCTGTAACTTCCCAGCACTGCTTGATAAAGAAGTATTCCTCTTCAGCTGCCCTAACCCTCGCTGCCGAAAGGTAAGGCTCAGGTGTCTGGCAGTATTGTACAATGACTGACCCGGCAGTCTGACCCATGTCTCATGGAGAGCAAGCTGGGGTATGTGAAAAGACAAATTCCTAATGCAAGAAATTGTATAGGGCTAATAAAGTGATCTTATCTTATACAAGAGCTTCTGTGGAGCAATCAGAGCTTTGAGATCAAGGAAAAGTCAGACAGTAAATAGGCTTTATGGTGTTAAATCTAAGTACCTAAGCATTTTGCATACATAGACTTTAGGGTGCTTTTAAATTTTTGTATGATCACCTAATGTAACCCTTTCATTCAGAAAGAATGCAATACCCAGCATCTCCACTTGATGGAGCTGTGGGACTGTGGAGAGAGCTGTGTGTTAAATCTTCGCTTTAAAAAAGTCCTTCTGATTAGGTTAGGATTGAAGAACATATGGTTTTTGTTTGTGTATCGCAAATGTATGAGCACTGGTTTTTGTCATCGGTCCTGTTAATAGATTTTCGACATTGCTAAAAAAATTGAATCGGAACCGCTTCCCGAGTTTTCCAAATTAAGGGAATCTTCTTGATTCCTTAGCTAATTAGAATTTTGTGATATGTGCCTATTTCTAAATGTCAGGTAAATTCTGGAGTTGAGGGTTGTCAGTTTGTAATTTGTTAGCTCGCAAGCTTATGTGACTGAATTATATCCAAAGATTTAGTAACAAACCTCCAGTAGTTTATATAGATGGTACCAAAGTGTCACCTCTGTTGTTAGTAGAAGTACTGTACTAGAAACATGAAATATTGGGAGAAGGTCTTTCTGGATGGCATCTTAGGCCAATGTCATCTCTAGGGAATTGAGTATTATGTGATACTAGCATTTTAATTATTTTTCTGCTGTATGCCATAAAAATGGACTATGGAGAAGAATGTTGTATTAATCACTGCGGATTCAGGCCCAGAAATCTGTACAGCTGCTTTGTGACCATTGTAAACAGCGCTATACAAATAAAACTGAATTGCAAATTGATTTAATCCATTGCTTTCTTTAGAGTAATTGCATCTCCAAGGATTGAGAATGTTAATGTAGTTGTTATATTCCAACAGCTGTATCGAAGTCTATTTTTTCATTTGATCAAAATAACTTAAGATATCTTTTGTTTCTAAAAGCTTCACAATATCTGCTTCAATGTTTATTAACTTACACAAGTAATACTTCTGTTTTTGTTTCGTTGTGTATGGATGCATAGATGTTTTTTTCTGTAATCTACACGTTTGGATATTGACTTACCGTCAGTAAAGATTATTGCGGTTTTTACTCAGTTATCATTGTAAGAAATAGATTGTGGAAAGACCTGTCCGAGGTGTTTTGTGTAGAGTTGGCTCAGAGGTTGGGGTTCATCACTTGTCAGCAGCTGTTCTTGACAAAGTTTTACATTATTTGATCCAGCTGCAGCCCTGATGCTTTGCATTAGCTCTTAGCTGTTTTGAAAACAGGCGATGTCAGATAAACCTGGATCAATACAGGAAATAACTTAAAAGACTGGGTCACCCATCTATGTTTCCCTTTTGTACTGAATTAAACTTTAGAACAGCTTGGCCATTTAGTAGTTAATGCCCATCTGCGTTCTTTCATGGTACTCGACATGCAGAGCTTTGTCATCTCCACGTGGAGGCTGCTGTGCTCTCTGTCCGCCCTGCAGTAAGCTGCTGTGTCCACTTAGCACAGCTGTAATTCTGATTGCGGACATGCTCAGAATTTCAAGATGGAACTGGGGTAAAATTACTTTATATGTTATTAATTGAAAGTGGAGGGTAGGTTACTGTACAGAAGGCTACAACAGGGCCATACAAGTACTAACATAGTTGTCAGATTTGGTGTGCAGTTAGCCATATGTGGCAATTATGACTTAGTGCAAAAAAGTTAAGGTCAAGTCATGTATCGGGAGTGCTGTTTTTTTTTTCATGTGGTTATCTTTCCTAAACTAATGCCGTTTCTGGATATATGTTCCACTTACTCTCTCTGGTTGTACTCTGCTCTCTTGTTCTTGGCCTTGCTGTAGCTTAGTTCTCAGTGACAGATAGTCAGATGCAGGTACTTTGACTTGATAAGGTTTAGATTCCTTTAACACCTAATTGCTCTTGTCAAAGGGTGTTTTCTTTTGATTTCAAGCACCCTATTGCAGAGAGCTGGCAGATGGCCTCAGTGGGCTAGAGCAGACGTTATATGTGCCGAAAGCAGGATATGTGGTTAAGATTCAGAACAAAAGTTTAGTTGTTGTTTTTTTTACATTTATTGCTGGTGGGGGAGGGTTTTGTGAAATATGTTTAACATAAAATGCATTCTAATACAGTGGAACTGAAAAAGAGTGGGGAAGTATACAAAACTGGAACAGAGATGTACTGCTTCATTCGCCAAGCTGAACTGTTCCCTGTTCCTCTTTTTTACACAAAGACACATTAATGTTTTATGAGATATTAAAAGAGGATTTCTTTAAATCCACATTAATCTGTTAAAATTACTTTAACACTTTTGATTCATTAAGATAGGTGGTGCCCCTGTTTAGAAAAGCCATCTTGTCCCTACGTGTACAGATGACAATAATGTGGCCCTAAAGGAAGTGAAGCCTAACCCTGGCCTCACTTGTGTCACTGTGAATGAGGTTTCATGCATGGATGGGTTTGCATTTAATGTATTCAAATGCTTTGCTGCTGTAACAAGATATGGTTTTACTTTTCTAGGAACATAAATAGGGAGGTGGTTTGGCACAGAATCCGCTTTTCAAATCCTTCCTTCCTTTGTTCTCTGTGTTTTCTCCTGCATTTAGAGAAATGATGAACTCACGTTAAGCAGATGGTATTTACAATGCTTTGCAAAATAATTCATACCCTTCCAATGATGTGCAATTGTGTTGAATTAAAAATATCTACACTTTTGAAAGTGCATGTTTTTAATGAGGACTTGAATAATAAACTTAAAGGCATAAGTTTTCAGCCCTCTGAGTCAAGACGTGGCAGAGCCACCTTTTGCCAGCAATTACAGCTGCCTGTCTTTAGGATAACTGTCTACCAACTTTCCATACCAGGGTGGTGCAGATTTAGCGGATTAATTTTGTTCCAACTCTGTCAAGTTGTTGGGAGATCATGGATGGACAGTAATTTGCGATTTGCAATCAAGCCTTGCAACATTTTCTAACCGGTTCAAGTCGGGACTTTGACTGGGAAACTCCTTTACCTGTACTTTGCTCCTTTCATTTTCCCTTCAGTTTTGACAAGCTTCCCAATCCCTGCTGATGAGAAGCAGCCCCATAACCCAATTCTGCCAAAACCTGCTTGACAGTAGGGAAGGTGCTTGACAGTAGGGAAAGTGTTGACTGGGTGATGCTCATTGTTGGGTTTCGGCTAGATGTAACACTTTGCACTGAGTCCAAAAAGTTTGGTTTGACCACAAAGTCATTTGCAACATGTGTACAGTGTCACTTAAATGCTTTGTTGCATTCAAGTTTTGGGAAGGTTTTGTGCAGTAATACTTCATACTCGTATCTCTTCCATAAAGGCCAGCTTGGACCCATAGATATTTTCTCCCATCTCAGCCTTTGAACTCTGTAGCTCTTTCACAATCACCATTGGCCTCATTTGACATCCCTCACCAGTTTCCTCCTTGCTCGGCTGTTCAGTTTGGAGGGACAACCTCCATGTGACGTACACTTTCCACTTAATGATCTGCTTAACTGTGCTTAAAGGAGTTTTTCTTCTATCCCTTTCTTCCACCTTATGCTTGCGTTATGAAAGCTCCTTTGGTCTTCAGCATTGAAATTCATTACCTGACTGAGAAACCTTTGTATAGACTGGTGTTATTCTGAAAGTTTGTGAAAGATCATGGCACAGGATGACTGTTCAGCTGTTCAGCTGATTGTGAGACGTGTCAAAGTAATGTGCACTTTAACTCATTTCGATTTGCCATTTGCTATCATTTATACAAAGGGGGTGAATACTTATGCAATCGGTAATGAAGCTTTTCCTGGCTTTTTTGCTAATCGTTTGTTTTGCTTAAAAATGGGCATGTGACATTACTGGAAAGATGTTAATACTTTTGCAAGGCACTGGATATAATGGGAGTTACTTTCTCCCATTATTTCTTTCAGCAGTTTTTTTGTATCTTTATACTGTCATTCAGGATGAGTTCATAGGATATCCTGTGTTTGTCAGGCCTTTAGTTTAACTGTGATGCCAGCAAGGAAGATAAGTGGGTTGATTTTCTAATGGAATAATTTAATGGGAAAGAATACATTTGCCTTAGTCATCAGGAGAATCTTAGCTTAACGCTACATTTTACTTCCAAGAGCAAAAGAACGTTTTCCCATCATGAGCAATGACAGTAAAGAAAACATAAGATTTTTCACTTGATTTATAAAGCAACATGTGAAGTGACAGAATTGTATTAAAAGTATACTATGCTTTGTTTTGAATTAAGCTATGTGAATTTAAATGATAATTGGAAAATAGGTTTTCGTTCAACATTATATTTCCAATTGATTAAAGGAGCCTGTCAGGGGAATCTTTTACATTTATTCTTCCTTATTCCTCTAGGAATCGGTAAAATCCATCTGCTGATTTACATAAATCAAACAAAACAGCACCAGCATATTTGATTTGGTAATCTGTCTCTCCCTTATTAACAACATTTAAAGGGAATTCATATTTTTATATGCTGTAGCTGTAAATAGCTGCTTGGTTCTGTCTAAGTGTTTTGCTGTTTTCATATGATTGAAATCTTGTTTTTGCCTGTTACTTGTTCATTGTTTTTGTAGAATAGATTTCGTCTGCAGGCCGCACTGCCGATGTGGATGCATGCTAGAGCTAACACTGCATGACCCAGAGTGGGTGTCTCTCGCTTCCTCCAGCCAGTTTCTACCATAAAAGGAGAAGGGAAGCTGTGTAAAGAGTCTGTGCTCTGTGCTCAGACTCAGACAGAGAGAGATGCTATCAACAGTCATTGAAGACTTTGTGGTTAGGTATTATATGGT